GCCCCCCAGACAGCTGGGGCGGTTGCTTACGCATCCCGCTCTCGGCCTCAGACAGCTTTCGCACACCATCATAGACCATCGATCTGGCATCGGTTCCACTCCCTGCCGTTAGAGGGCTAGGGGTTCTCAAGTGCAGCATAGGTCCTTCCTGACCCGACTGCCCAACCTGCACACTTCCTACCCGCTCAGGGCTTGGGGAGCGCATCCTAACCACCGGTTCCTCACTTACCATCACGTCCGAGCCATCACTCTCGTCCGAGTCGGTCACAACTCTGTCCCTCCCACTCCATGCGTAGCCTTGCACAAGCTGTCTCATCGCCACTGCCACACCCGCTGACTTACGCCCAAATTTTCCGGCCTCACCGGAGAGCCATTTCTGCCGAGACCCAGTATGGCCTTCACTCGCGGGGGTACAGAAACGTTCGTGTCCATGAGCCTATGCCATCTGATGAGCGACTGCGGTACCACTATCATATTGCTGTTCGCCCACATCAATGCCCACTCCGAGTGCCTCATCTGGTCAAAACCGATGAGCACATCACAACCCATGGGTAAACCCTAAAACATGGAAGGGCTGCCCTTCTACTAGGGCAAAACTCGTCCAGGCCACTTAACAGTGGTCCATTATACAGTGCGTCTGGCGCCAAACCAATTTGCTTCGACGCCTTCTCAGTGATGAAGTTGTACGTACAACCTGAATCGGCATAAGCCCACACCCAATCTGTCGCCAACAGCATCGGAACCACCGCACCTTTTCAATTTCGGTTGCCATCCTGGCTAGCTGCTGCACCAGCCGCTGGTCCATTCGCACTTCGCAACTGCGGACACTCTTCACCGGCACGTGTCCTGATTTCTGACACAGATAACACAACGGCGGGCGCACATAACCCTGGCCTCTGCTTGAGTCTTCATCTCGCCCACGAGAGTGCGAGCGCGAGCGCTCACGCGTTAGCTCCCGGGAGTCTCTTTCCCAGTTATCCCCAGTGGAATCATGGCGATCCCTCGATGGTCCACCACCATCCCAACGGCTATCATGCATATCCCATGCATATCCGATTGGTATCCACGATCCCTCTGATAGAGGTTCCGCGCAGACTGACGCCCATCAACACGCTCTTGACGTTCACGATACGGGACAACCGCCGCCCCTGTCTGCACATCCCGCAACGGCGGTCTGTCAGGCCGGTCATTGCGCCCCCTTGGCGAGGGCGGACGCTGCACACGAGGCCGCCATATATAT